TATGCTGATTTGGTGTTGGTGATTTATTATCCCGATTTGAAATATATATATAAATTTACTATTATTGTTGTTATAATTATTATTATTCATCACTTTTCTGATGGTTATTTAGAAAATTCAAATCGGGTAATTATACACTTTTAAAAAGAAAATCAGATTTTTTTCGTGAATAACTGATAATCACTATCTTGTATAGCTGAATCGAAAATGAAATTTGCTCGCATCCAAATAAATTCATTTATTTTGTTCATTTCTAATTAATTAAATTAATTATTTCATTTAAAATGGAAGAAGAACCTTCCGTTATGGTTCTAAGAAGTCAAGTTGGATATGGAACTTGACGGAGGAAACTGTAATTGTAAAAGATGATGAGAAAACCTAGCTATTTGTCGAGTTAACGTATCCGAAGCTTTTGATGGTGAATCTAGATCTAAACTATATTATACACTTATCGGAAATACAATGACCTCAAAAAGAATACCGCTTTTGTTTGAAAAGATTGTTTTTTTGAAAAAGTATTGATAGGTTTGATAGAATGCAAAATGACCAATAGATAATTGTTAACAATGTATTCACTGAATAATCAATGAATGATTAATGATCAAAGGAATACCTGAAACATTATAATAATTATTCACCAAAATGATCATCCGGAGATTGAATGAATCTTTTTAAAATGGGGCATACTGCAACAAAACCAGACAAAGTGAACATTTGTATTACTAACAATTTCAGGGATCAAAATTCAGTCATTTGTAATGTGATTATAATTAAAAGTTTTATAATATCCCATTTTGTTATCTTAATATTAAGTGATACATAGAACTAACCCCCCTCCCATATAAAAATAATTGATATTGTGAGCAATATTGTGAGCATGTAAATTCCAGCTACACAAACTCACGATGTGTCCAATAAAATATATAGATAGATAATCTAATATTCCAATAATGTATTTTCAATACAGCAGACCCAACCGACTTATGTATTTTCAATACTAAACTAAAACTAAATTAAAACTTCACGGGATTTCCTAAACAAATACAATACAAATACTCTAGGTGCCTGCCAGCCGTTCCCCTAGACCAAATTCCAAAGATATGTATATAATCCTGAATGCTTTCTAGGTGGGTGCCTTCTTAACCGTTTCCCCTGTCTTACCTAGTCATAATGATGGTGGCCAAAACTAATCCATAGTTTAGGCATTTAGGCAATTTTGGTTTAGGCCTAATTTTACCCTTGAGAATATTAAACATCCAGTCAGAATACAGTGTGTAACGAAAAAAATTGACCTCTAAATTTGTTTTCTAAGAAAGTAACCAAAATCCAAAGCCGCATAATAAAAATTATGTCAAAGAATTAAAAGATCATAAATTATTACATTAAAAATTTTGAAGCATATTATTATGTAGGCTTTAGAGCAATGATTAAAAAACTTTGCATTGAAATTTTTCTAGTTGAATTTCTTTTATTTTTAATTGACAAATTTCTAGAACATATAGTTTTATATAAATGATCTTCAGAACTTAAGCTACAAATTGATATATATTTTTTATATGATTATTATGTGTGTTTTTGTGTTAAAGCAATTGTTAAAAAGTTTCATGTTAAAATTTTGGAGACAAAAATTTAAAAAAATTTAAAAAAAAGAGACATGATTTGACCTTACAAAAAATTGGCAATAGTATTTTATATCAAGTTTTTTTATTTAATAAAGTAATTGATTGGCTTTTAAATGAATCTAATTTTGTTTAACTATCTCATGTATTTCTTGGGTAGTTTAATTTTTGTGAGGTCAATTTTTTTCGTTACACACTGTACATTTCACGATTTTATAGTGCATAAAGCAGTAAAAACTTGTATGAAAACGGGTTATCTTCCCATTAGAGGATTTAGCAATTCAAAAGGGAATAATTTGCCAACTGAGTACTGTTTTAATCGCATTCATAGAAATGTCAACTTCAAATTCAAACTGATGAAGAAACAGAAAGATTTAATTCAATATTCCACTATTGTTGAAACATTTTGGTAGTAAAACTAAGTTATAAAAAGCAGAAAATAATTTTAATCTTGTAGAAGCATATTATTTACTTTTTTAAAATAATAATAATAAAACCATTACAAAAATATATTTTTTTGTAGTGATCTTGTGTTAATCCATTAACTTTAATAATACATTGTTTACCATAAAAAGCAGCATAATTTTTGAGCTAAAAAAAAATATATCGAATTTCAGAATAATATTTTAAAAAATCTGAAACTAGTATTATAATTTAAAATAATAATAAAGAAATTATCCATCGATTAATAATTTTTTCGTTTCCTTAATATATTTATGAATGTCCTGCAGAAATGTATCATCAATTGAGACCATGTATCCACATTCAATATAATTTGTTTTTTTTAGTTGGATATTGTTTGGAAACATCTCTGACAAAAATTTCAAATAATTAATAATTTCATCTATTTTAAAGAAATTAATTGGCTATTAATAAATGATCAAACTAGGGGGTTTTTTTTAAAAAAAATTTATAAAACAATACAAACCTGCAGTTGAATTTCTTTTATTTTTAATTGACAAATTTCTAGAACATATAGTTTTATATAAATGATCTTCAGAACTTAAGCTACAAATTGATATATATTTTTTATATGATTATTATGTGTGTTTTTGTGTTAAAGCAATTGTTAAAAAGTTTCATGTTAAAATTTTGGAGACAAAAATTTAAAAAAATTTAAAAAAAAGAGACATGATTTGACCTTACAAAAAATTGGCAATAGTATTTTATATCAAGTTTTTTTATTTAATAAAGTAATTGATTGGCTTTTAAATGAATCTAATTTTGTTTAATTATCTCATGTATTTCTTGGGTAGTTTAATTTTTTGTGAGGTCAATTTTTTTCATTACACACTGTATATTATCTGGAAAAAATAACTAATAAATAATTACCCATTCTTCGATATTAAATGCAATCATTTGTAACCCATGATGAATAATTAGGAATAATCACACCAGTCTCTCTGATATAATTATTGATTGCAGAAATAAGATCTGTTTTGTCTAATGTATTGATTAAAACTAACCTATTCCGTCCACTGGTGAAGATTGGAGTATGTAAATCATTTGAATAATCAGGATATTCGATTTTAATTTTCAGATTGAGTTTTTAATCACCTCTTCGCTAATTCCTTTACATCCCTCCAAACCAAGATATTTCAAATTAGTAGTACAGTGTTGATTTCCAAAATTAGAGAGTTTCGCAACCATGCGAAAGTCAAAAGGTTTTGCCATAAGTCAAAACTAGTTTTGATTTTTGACTATTGACTTTTGATTTAGTTTTGACATATAACTTTTAATTTTAGT